TATTTTTATTGTCTTCTCAAATTTTCATTGTCAGTATTTGACAACACAGATAAAATGTTAATAACTGTGATACCTTCATAATATAATACAGTAGCAGAAATTAAATTCGGTATGTTTTTTTAATCCATCCAATATAATCAAAATATAAAAAATAAAATTTGAAAGACAAACGAACAAACTACAGATGCTGTGATTTCAGCACACTCAAACACTATTGATTCGTTAATTAACAATTTCTTCAACGCCATCTTATAGACGTAAGGTGCTAGCCTAGTGCACTGCAATGTTAATCAAACCCATCAATCTAATAACAACCTACTTTTTTGCCAGCCGCGTGTCTTCTGATGGACATATATGGATATTTTTCAATGTTTGCCATGTGTCCAGCACTTCCTGGTTCACTGTGGCCATTCTGTACCGTCTCTGTCTGGCATAGTTCTGTAGTGTTCTCTCCAGTACTACCTCATTGTGAGCGTGCTGGTTAGATAATTTCTGCCAAGTTTTCACCAATCGAGACATGATGGGTCACATTTGGCGTTAGACCACAGCCTCACTTTATAAATATGGTGGGGTTTAAATTTCTATTGTCTTCATTTAAGTCCAGAAACCAGATTCGTGTAAAACGGTGGCAACATCCTGTACCTATTCTGCTCGTCTGGTATCAGTCAGACTCCTGTTCGTGTCCTAGAGAATTAAAGCACTGTCGTTTCGTTGTTATATTATATAGTTATCGTACACTGGTCACTGTAATTACCACTTAGATGTCACTTTCCAGTTGTTATTGTCTCCTGACGGGTTCCCCTTGCTGACTGTGTGGCCACTGCCTGAGATCGGTTTCCATGGGCGCCGTGTCTCTCATTTAGTCACGCTATGGAAGCTTGACAACAATAAGTGACCGACTGCACTGTACATACGAGAGTGCGGGACACACAACGTCATGCTTATTCAAGAATTCAAGATATGTTGTCCCAGAGAAAACAAAACTATTCAACCTTAATGTGCTGAACTTTTATTGTAATTGAAAGAAATTAACTCAGAGTATTACCCAACGATAACTGAGTAGGTAAACCACTGTGCACGAAGCTGAACGCACATAAATGGTGTTTGTTTGTCGTGAAAGTTAACTGTGGTCTAATCAAAATATTTTCACACTTCCAGAGGACCTGTAAACTGGTGTCAAGTAGTTTTATGATCCAGTTCAAATTGCATTAATTACGGGTAATGGGTTTGATATGAAAGTTAAGGGCATTCAATAATGAGTTAACATGAAATCTTATCCTCAAGCAACGTCACTGTTTTTGTAAGGATCATTTCCAGAAAAAAAAGTATAGAAAATTGCTTTACACTCATAAATATTCAAGGCCAATCAGTGAAAGAAAAATATACAAAGCTTGAATGTATTCATTGACGGTGAATTTTTTTTTTTAAAGTGTTGTATGTTCGTTCTACTCACCACGCACCGACTGCAAAACAACCGGGGCGCTCAAGCTTTAAAAAGTTTTCAAGTTTGGTAAACAAATTATTACATAGTTCCATAAACCTCTTTCAACGGTATTTTTATTAACAGGCTTAATATCTTATTTTGCTTACTCAAAAAACATACTAAGTGTATAAAACAATGTCACAGCTTATATATAATTTTATTGCATTGAAACATCATCAGACATCAGACGTTAACCTGTTTAATTATAAGTTGATGTCTATGTTTGAACGCAAATCACACTAAATTTACAATATATATATATTAACATCGATCATTTTGATGAGCTTATTTTCTATATACTCTTTGATACTGCTTATGGGTGGGGATAGAGGTATAGCATAGTTTCTTTTGAGGCAATATTCCCCATCAACATTCCGATGCGACACATCCCAACTAACACAATTACAAAATTGGATTGGGAGTTTTTGCAAACTGTTATTGTGCTTACAATAGTCCCTATCGTGGTGTTTTTGTCCTTTAAAAATGCAAAATATAATAAACAAAACAATTACAAATTCAGATGGAAAAATTCATTCAGAATTAAGAAAGACAGCGCCATAATTTAACGACACCACAGCGATTGATATTTTCTATCAAGCAAATTATGCATTAATGACAACATAAATATCGTCATAATAGCTAAGTCTTAAAACCAAATTGAACCTTTTTTCTGTATAAATGGCATGTGGTTATTAAAGATCAGTAAAAAAATATGTTAACAGCATGCACCTGTGGGGCTGGTCTTATATGCTAGTATGACCGTTATGGCAAGCAAGCAGTGTTGTGGCAGTGTTGTGGTAGTGTTGTGGTAGTGGAGCGCTTATATAAGTATCTCCTTTGTCGCAGTTTAGGACAGCCACCCATCGATGTGAGGAGCTGTTTGGCGTAAATTTTCTTTGCTGAAAAAAATCATTGTGCAATTTGATCGTTAAAAAATGATGTTCTTGGATCCCACACAGACAGTACATTATATATTGCAGCCTATTGCTGGTATGCTACAGGTAACCTACTCGCCAGAGGATGTTTGTTCTTGCTTACAGGTGATAAAACAACGCTGACCTCGGCTCTGAACCATAATCGGCATTTTAAGAATAAGATTTGTCATTCAAGTGGTGACATGCACTTCATGCATTTAAGATAGCTCATACAGTCTAATCAAGGCTTATATAGACTTTATATTATCACATTAATCCAGCAAAATATTTCTTACCACGCTCCTTAATATTGTTCTTGCTATTAGTGTCAGAAGGTTATCTAAAAAGCGTCACTTTATGGCGGTGTTGACACGCTGTGTAACGAATTTGGTAAGGTCTTATTTGAACAGTCATCATCCGATCTTTGTTTTCTATTTACACTGACGATTATTCGCCCATACAGCTTCGATAAAACCGTTTGTATATATCCTCAGTAACAATTTGCGAAAGCTTGGAAAGTTGAGAGCATAGACGGACAAAAGCTGCAGATGCGTCTTCGTAGCACGTAATGTTTGAGGTGGTTTGTAAAGTAGTGTTTTCCCGTGTATCTTTGAGATAATTAGTAAGCGATTAGTGAGCCGTGGTTAAGTTCTGGCAAGGAGGAGGTATTAGAAAGACGGCTCGTGTGTCGCCACTTCAAGTTAGGCCAAGTTTTACCCGAGAACGCCTTTGGATATGAAAATTAAGAGGACGTGAGACGGCGTCAGACGTACGGAAAACAACGGTCGATGATGTCTGTAAAGAGATTAAAATTTTAAATCAAGTTAAAACAACAACAACAACAACAATAATAATAATAGTAATAATAATAATAATAATTTCTTATCATTATGAAAAGAAAAGCAATTGAATAAAACAGCTGTATCATTTGCTAAGTATGGATTATAGTCTTTAAATAGCAGTCTTTCGAATAAAACATAATCAATTTAATTGGATTTATGATTCTATCTTTTTAAATTTAAAAACGGACATTTCAAAACATTATTAACGAACCATCGCAAACAAAAATAAAGACAAACTAATCTCTTTATAAAATGGACTTCACAGTTTATCAAATGGTAAAAACCAAACAGTAAAAAACCAGTTGATCTCGAAGTGAAAGTGGGGAAACAAAGAGTTAGCATACCGGACGTTCATTGTCTTAAATCTTCTTTTTAGATAGTTTAATTTGGTATGTACTGATGATTGCGATATTTATTAATATCCCAAAGCACGTGTTATCATTTCATTTTGGTCGTTTTTAACTACATTTAGATGAAAGTGAAAAGCAGGGAAAGTGTAATATTTTTTTACGGTTTTAGCTAGGTGAAGAATAAACTTTTTTTGATTTTAGAAATCGATAGGATGGTGGTCACTTAGTTCCAAAAAATTGCTGAGGAACACAGAAAAGTTCGATGATTTTTTTTCGTGAAATTACTTAATTATGTAGAAAGAACTACGTCCTTAAAAGTTGAGTGATCCCCTCTGTGTTTTGAAAGAACTTAAGGTGGCTATATACAAGTACGTGGCACGTTCTTGTCATTACGGTAGCTTTAAGTCCGGCCACACATGAGTCATAAGCTGTCAACACAGCGCCCAGCAAGAACGGGACCTGCCGCGCTCATGGCAACGCAGATTGGGGACGGGGAGATATAGTTTTAACGCTAGGTGTTTACCTGTATACACGAAGCGAGCAGTCATGTCATTAAGACTTAATCTTTGTTACAGTTTTACATATTGGTGCACATTTTCATTGACCCAAAAGGAAGCTTTACTTTAAGTCTTTGTCTTTTTTTCTCGAATCTTAATCTTACTATTTTATGTGTGAGTTTCCAATATAAATTTTGTCTTTTAAATAAAGAAATATAATTAAAGAAATCATCTTTTCATTTTCAAGATCATAAGGTCTGAAGTTATGACAATATGAACAAAGAAAAATTACAAGAGGGAAAAATCAAACTAGGCACTACAGTATCCTGATTGCTTAAACAAAAATTCCGAGTGACGAAGCCAAAAAGTATTCCGCCTAGGTACAATACGTTTAAAACAATTCTTGTGACCGTTATTGTAAATATGATAGTGTATTCTCAGCTGAAGAGTCACGAAGGGGTCCTGGGTGTGAGGTTTTGGTACATTATCAAACAAGAGATACTCGATATAGAAGTGACAGTGTGGGAAATTCCCAGGGCAAAGCCGCGGTGTCAGTTCTATTAGGACATTTTACATTAAGACAAGATAAAGGATATTTTCACTGAACATGTTCGTTACTCGACTGGATGCATGGCATTGCTGTTTTCCTAATTTTGAAAGATTAAATTGTATTAGGCCGTACTCTATTCTTATGCATGCGTTGAAATATATAAATAAAAATGCAAGATTGTTATTTTTAAAGGGGAAATGCGGTGAAAGCGGAGTTAATCCAATCAATTTTGGAATTTGTGTATAAATAATTACCATATTAAATGCATAAATTCTGCTATCGATTTTATTTTCTGTTTTTAAAAAAATTAATTCTTCTATATACCGGCGTGGATTGGTCAGCTCCTTGGATATCCAGNATTTTTTGGACTGATATGATAACTAAAGCAGGTCCTGGTGTTAAATAGTTTATCCGTCGTCGTCGCTATCATAAATTATAGGGTTGAATAAATTGTATCGTTTCCGTAGTTCTTCCTCCTCTTTCAATTTTTTCTTTCTTGCCTCCTCTTCTTTGCGCTTTTTCGCTCTTTCCTCACGCGTGACAAACTCCTCGACATTGTCATAAAACTTTTTTATCCTCTGCTCCAGCGGCGGTAACTTTTGACGTCTCTTACGTTTTCTATTCATTATATCACTCATGACACTTTCATTCCTGCTCCTAACTGGTGGAAATTTAGGGTCAATATTAACAATCTTTGGTAGTTTCACTGTCTCTTGCTGTGGCGAAGGGGGCGTTGATTCGTCGGCGTCGTTTACCTCTGGCACGGCAACCAGCGGCATTGCGATAGTTGAGCTCCATTTCCTGAGTGTGCCATCGTGGTGCTTTCTGCCGTCTTGCGGTATATCCGCATGTGAGGTCCATTTTTTAAGTCTAGACCCCGCTCTACTTCCCCAGTCTGACGTGTCTGTAATTATCCCCGCTTTAGGAGGCTGCTTCGGTTTAATGGTGGCGAAAATGAAGTTTTCTGATGTAGTTATTTGAGGCAAGTCTAAGTAAGATGAAGAGAGATCTTCAGTTTCTCCCTTTAGGTACAGTGCCATCTCCGTCCGCTGCCGTGCCAGAGTCAGCTCTTTTTGAGTCTTTTCAAATGTTTTAGATCGTAATAACGGCAAGATGGTCTTTAGTTTTTCCTCTTGAGATTCATTCCCTTGACCTAGGTGCCTATAATGAAGAGATTGACATAGAAAGATGAAATAATACATTTCTGTTTGACAAATTAAAAGGACAATTTTGGAATCGTCGAAATGTGTTGGACAGATACAGTGTATAAAAGTCCCAATTTTTAAACTAATAAATCAGTTATCACCCTTTAAATTTTAGTTTACACTAATTAGTGTAACGATAATTTAGGAACATTTATTTTTAGACTCTATAGCTTGTGTACAATTCCTGTAATGGTTTTGATTTCAAAAGACCAAAAGTGCGATGCCATATGCGTGAATTATGAAATTTCGTTGAATTAGCGGAGTGGATCTTTTGAACTAATTCATTCGTCTGGTGATAGATCCATTGTACTTTTTTAATTTTTTTTTTCACATCACGGACAGTTACTTACACATGTATTTTTATTGTCTTCTCAAATTTTCATTGTCAGTATTTGACAACACAGATAGAATGTTAATAACTGTGATACCTTCATAATATAATACAGTAGCAGAAATTAAATTCGGTATGTTTTTTTAATCCATCCAATATAATCAAAATATAAAAAATAAAATTTGAAAGACAAACGAACAAACTACAGATGCTGTGATTTCAGCACGCTCAAACACTATTGATTTGTTAATTAACAATTTCTTCAACGCCATCTTATAGACGTAAGGTGCTAGCCTAGTGCACTGCAATGTTAATCAAACCCATCAATCTAATAACCACCTACTTTTTTGCCAGCCGCGTGTCTTCTGATGGACATATATGGATATTTTTCAATGTTTGCCATGTGTCCAGCACTTCCTGGTTCACTGTGGCCATTCTGTACCGTCTCTGTCTGGCATAGTTCTGTAGTGTTCTCTCCAGTACTACCTCATTGTGAGCGTGCTGGTTAGATAGTTTCTGCCAAGTTTTCACCAATCTAGACATGATGGGTCACATTTGGCGCTGGACCACAGCCCCACTTTATAAATATGGTATGATTTCAAATTCTATTGTCTTCATTGAAGTCCAGAAACCAGATTCGTGTAAAACGGTGGAAACATCCTGTACCTGTATCCTGCTCGTCTGGTATCAGTCAGACTCCTGCTCGTGTCCTAGAGAATTAAAGAACTGTCGTTTCGTTGTTATATTATATAGACATCGTACACTGGTCACTGTAATTACCACTAAGATTACCACTTTCCAGTTGCTATTGTCTCCTGACAGGTGCCTCTTGCTGACTGTGTGGCTACTGCCTGAGATCGGTTTCCATGGGCGCCGTGTCTCTCATTTAGTCACACTATGGAAGCTTGACAACAATTAGTGACCGACTGCACTGTACATACGAGAGTGCGGGACACACAACGTCATGCTTATTCAAGAATTCAAGATATGTTGTCCCAGAGAAAACAAAACTATTCAACCTTAATGTGCTGAACTTTTATTGTAATTGAAAGAAATTAACTCAGAGTATTACCCAACGATAACTTAGTAGGTAAACGACTGTGCACCTTGCTGAACGCACACAAATGGTGTTTGTTTGTCGTGAAAGTTAACTGTGGTCTAATCAAAATATTTTCACACTTCCAGAGGACCTGTAAACTGGTGTCAAGTAGTTTTATGATCCAGTTCAAATTGCAATAATTGCGGGTAATGGGTTTGATATGAAAGTTAAGGGCATTCAATAATGAGTTAAACATGAAATCTTATCCTCAAGCTACGTCACTGTTTTTGTAAGGATCTTTTCCAGAAAAAAAGTACAGAAAATTGCTTTACACTCATAAATATTCAAGGCCAATCAGTGAATGTATTCACTGACGCTGAATTTTTTTTAAAGTGTTGTATGTTCGTTCTACTCACATCGCACCGACTGCAAAACAACCGGGGCGCTCAAGCTTTAAAAAGTTTTCAAGTTTGGAAAACAAATTATTCCATCTTTCTATAAACCTCTTTCAGCGGTATTTTTATTTACAGGCTTAATATCTTATTTTGCTTACTCGAAAAATATACTGAGTGTATAAAACAATGTCACAGCTTATATATGATTTGATTGTATTGAAACATCAGACGTTAACCTGTTTAATTATAAGTTGATGTCTATGTTTGAACGCAAATCACACTAAATGAAATATATATATATATATATAAATGTCATTTTGATGAGCATATTTATTTATTTGTATACTCTTTGATACTGCTTTTGGGTGGGATAGAGGTATAGCATAGATCGTTTTGAGGCAATATTCCCCATCAACATTCCGATTGCGACACATCCCAACTAACACAATTACAAAATTGGATTGGGAATTTTTGCAAACTGTTATTGTGCTTACAATAGTTCTTATTGTGGTCTTTTCATCCTTTAAAAATCCAAAATATAATAAACAAAACATTTAAAATTTCAGATGGAAAAATTCATTCCGAATTAAGAAAAAAACAGCGCAATAATTTAACGACACCACAGCGATTTTTTATGAAGCAAATTGTGTATTGATGACAACACGCATACATAGCCCCATATTCTTTCCAAAAGCTGTCTTAAGACCAAATTGAACCTTTTCTTTTATGTGACATTATTGCAAGTGGTTTCATTAAATATCAGTAAAAAAATATATGGACAGCATGCACCTCTGTTGCCCACGAAGTGGTCTGATGCTAGTATGACCGTTATGGCAAGCAAGCAGTGTTATGGTAGTGGAGCGCTTATATAAGCATCTCCTTTGTCGCAGTTTCGGACAGCCATCCATCGATGTGAGCAACTGTTTGGCGTAAACTTTTTTTGCTGAAAAAAATCATTGTGCAATTAGATCGTTAAAAATGATGTCCTTCGATCCCACACAGACAGTACATTATATATTGCAGGCTATAGCTGGTATGGTACAGGTAACCTACTCGCCAGAGGATGTTTGTTCTTGCTTACAGGTGATAAAACAACGCTGACCTCGGCTCTGAACCATAATCGGCATTTTAAGAATAAGATTTGTCATTCAAGTGGTGACATGCACTTCATGCATTTAAGATAGCTCATACAGTCTAATCAAGGCTTATATAGACTTTATATTATCTCATTAATCCAGCAAAATATTTCTTACCACGCTCCTTAATATTGTTCTTGCTATTAGTGTCAGAAGGTTATCTAAAAAGCGTCACTTTATGGCGGTGTTGACACGCTGTGTAACGAATTTGGTACGGTCTTATTTGAACAGTCATCATCCGATCTTTGTTTTCTATTTACACTGACGATTATTCGCCCATACAGCTTCGATAAAACCGTTTGTATATATCCTCAGTAACAATTTGCGAAAGCTTGGAAAGTTGAGAGCATAGACGGACAAAAGCTGCAGATGCGTCTTCGTAGCACGTAATGTTTGAGGTGGTTTGTAAAGTAGTGTTTTCCCGTGTATCTTTAAGATAATTAGTAAGCGATTAGTGAGCCGTGGTTAAGTTCTGGCAGGGAGGAGGTATTAGAAAGACGGCTCGTGTGTCGCCACTTCAAGTTAGGCCAGGTTTTACCCGAGAACGCCTTTGGATATGAAAATCAAGAGGACATGAGACGGCGTCAGACGTACAGAAAACAATGGTCGATGATGTCTGTAAAGAGATTAACATTTTAAATCAATTTAAAACAACAACAGCAACGACAACAACAACAACAACAACAACAACAACAACAATAATAATAATAATAATAATAATAATTCAANCAGACCATGACATACAAGCTGGTCTAATAATAATAATAATTTCTTATCATTATGAAAAGAAAAGCAATTGAATATCACAGCTGTATCAATTGGTAAGTAGGAGATTCTACTCTTTAAATAGCAGTCTTTCGAATAAAACATAATCAATTTAATTGGATTTATGATTCGATCTTTTTAAATTTAAAAACGGGCATTTCAAAACATTATTAACGAGCCATCGCAAACAAAAATAAAGACAAACTAATCTCTTTATAAAATGGGCTTCACAGTTTATCAAATGGTAAAAACCAAACAGTAAAAAACCAGTTGATCTCGAAGTGAAAGTGGGAAACAAAGAGTTAGCATACCGGACGTTCATTGTCTTAAATCTTCTTTTTAGTTAGTTTAATTTGGTATGTACTGATAATTGCGATATTAATTTTAATTATTAAAATATTAAAATATCCCAAAGCACGTGTTATCATTTTGTTTTGGTCGTTTTTAAGTAATAAGCCATAACTGCAAATTTAGATGAAAGTGAAAAGCAGGGATAGTGTAATCTTTTTTGAACGGTTTTAGCTAGGTGAAGAAAAAGACTTTTTTGATTTTAGAAATCGATAGGATGGTGGTCATTTAGTTCCAAAAAGTTGCTGAGGAACACAGAAAAGTTCGATGATTGCTTTTTTTTCGTGCCAAATTACCTAATTATGTAGAAAGAACTACGTCCTTAAAAGTTGAGTGACCCCCTCTGTGTTTTGAAAGAACTTAAGGTGGCTATATACAAGTACGTGGCACGTTCTTGTCATTACGGTAGCTTTAAGTCCGGCCACATGAGTCATAAGTTGTCAACACAGCGCCCAGCAAGAACGGGACCTGCCGCGCTCATGGCAACGCAGATTGGGGACGGGGAGATATAGTTTTAACGCTAGGTGTTTACCTGTATACACGAAGCGAGCAGTCATGTCATTAAGACTTAATCTTTGTTACAGTTTTACATATTGATGCACATTTTCATTGACCCAAAAGAAAGCTTTAAGTCTTTGTCTTTTTTCTCGAATCTTAATCTTACCATTTTATGTGTGAGTTTCCAATATAAATTTTGTCTTTTAAATAAAGAAATATAATTAAAGAAACCATCTATTCATTTTCAAGGTACAACATAAAGTCTGACGTTATGACGATATGAACAAAGAAAAATTACAAGAGGGAAAAATCAAACTATGCACTACAGTATTCTGATTGCTTAAACAAAAATTCCGAGTGACGAAGCCAAAAAGTATTCCGCCTAGGTACAATACGTTTAAAACAATTCTTGTGACCGTTATTGTAAATATGATAGTGTATTCTCAGCTGAAGAGTCACGAAGGGGTCCTGGGTGTGAGGTTTTGGTACAATATCAAACAAGAGATACTCGATATAGAAGTGACAGTGTGGGAAATTCCCAGGGCAAAGCCGCGGTGTCAGTTCTATTAGGACATTTTACATTAAGACAAGATAAAGGATATTTTCACTGAACATGTCCGTTACTCGACTGGATGCATGGCATTACTTTTTTCCTGATTTTAAAAAATCAAAATGTATTAGGCCGTACTCTTTTCTTATGCATGCGTTGAAATATATAAATAAAAATGGAAGATTATATTTTTTAAAGGGAAAATGCGGTGAAAGCGGAGTTAATCCAATCAATTTTGGAATTTGTGTATAAATAATTACCATATTAAATGCATAAATTCTGCTATCGATTTTATTTTCTGTTTTTAAAAAATTAATTCTTCTATATACCGGCGTGGATTGGTCAGCTCCTTGGAGATCCACNATTGGTCAGCTCCTTGGATATCCAGTTGCAACAGTGCATTTTCTTCTGAAAGCTAACAAGAATAACAAAGGCCTGCCAACATGTCAAGAAGAAATAACATTGTTTTTACTGCGAAGAAACTTTCATCCTAATTAATTTAGACAACTACTGCAAAAATTCCTTTCACACATGTCTAAACGTTCAAGCTGCAGTATTCGGTTGATCATCTCGGTGCATTTTCACAGATGTTGGTGTAAGTTACAACTACAATGCGCAGTGTAACAGCGTTAACTATGGCAAAAGTAAACAGCCAATCCTGAGACTGAAAACAACACAAGTATGGCTTTTACGTCACAGCCCACTAAGTGATCTGCACATCTAGGGCCTAGGACAATAAATTAGTTTTCACAGAGAGAGGATGGACACACAATTAACCTTATCACGCCGTAGAAACTTATTTTTAACATATTTGACATGTAAAATACAGAAAAAAAGAAGAATACTTTACCAGTGTGTGGCCGTTTAAACAATCAACAAGAGTATGCTATGAATACTGTCAAAACAGGTGGTCCGTATTAGGTGGAAAGGACAGTACGAGCAACGCGTAAAAAACTATTGCACTCAGCTTTCGGATTCGATTACGTAATTCAGATATGCTTGAAGTAGAAAAAATGGCATAAGGGCCTTAGGATTATGGCAATGCGTAGACTGAATCAATGCATGGTATATTCTGAGGAGAAAAATAATTTGGAGAGCCGCGAAAGCTTCGATGAGAAAAGATATGAACATGTAACATTTTCACATTACCGTTAATCATGAAATAGACGTGCAAATGTAATGGGGAAAATAGAAAAATCTACCGCAAACAGTGACGTACAAAGTCAAACTGATAATAGGAACCATGATAAAGTTAAAAATCAAACAAAAAAGACGTGGTCTTCTTCACGATCCTCTAACACTGTGAGTTCTTAAACGCTTTTACCTTATATTTAGAATATTAATAATAATAATAATAATAATAATAATAATAATAATAATAGGACAATCTGTATTGCACAGGTTTTTACTCTCTATAACTTATTGGCACTTCTATCCTTTCCAATAAGCCAAAATTATATAGATATTTACTGCCTTACTATTTTTCTTGTGATATGAACAAGGGGGAAACTTGTCACGGAGAGAAAATACACGGGAAAGGCAACTAAATTAATTTTTGATTTAGATAAATGAGCAAAATCGTTACTGCCCCATCACCAAAAGGGACTTGAATAAAAAATCGAAAACTTATGTTCCTTAGCATATTTCACAGTGCCAAATTGAGTGAGGCTTAACTAACTCATACACTTTTTATGATTTTACGAAAATCGATTTAAAGCTTAAGGATAAACACAATCTCATAGATATCATGCACACGACGTCAGAATATTGATGCCGATTTGCATCGACAATTTAAACGAAATGAATGACCAGGAAGATGCTGTTTGGGCAAAGGTGGAATGACAGGATAGCCAATGTCCAACAGTTGTAGAAAACCAGGTGGGTGGTTGCCGACCGGTGGTCAGGGGTAATCAAAGGTGGTCAGTGAACGCTTACTAATACATCAACAAACAGAACGTAGACATTACTTCCGGTGATGCAACCACGCCCTAAGGTGCAATATTGCTTGATAGTTGTAACGTTCAGATAAGATAAAATATTTGTAATCCCTGCCACAAGATCTACTCAGTTTTAAAATGGATTGGGATTTCTTACGTAAACTGAAATGCTGGCAGTTGAAGGGTCTAGTAAAGACTCCGACGAAGATACTGTAATTGTATTGTCAAATGCAGAAAATTGATAAGAACATCCATATTCAAATTAACATTTAAATCATGCTTCAAATAACACAAATAACATTACTTCTGGAATTAAAATTTAAAACATTATTTTGCAAATATTATCAAGTCCGGTTTTTATGTATCTATGGACCCCCAGGACTCTATTTGATATACCAGGCGCGTGCAGTCTACCAGCTCCACCTGTGCCCCACCTCACGGCGTCTCCCTCCGGCCAAGCTGGACGTGCCTCCCCGCCCTGACCATTACCGTTGGATACTGCATGACCAGGCTATCCGCTAATACGGAACCAACTAATGATAATGTCTCTTCAACTAGGATTTAACAGCTAGAGTTGTGGCTTAGTCTGATTAGGTAGGCAAATAAACCTGTTGATACTGTATTATGGAAGGTATAGATTTGGGCAATACTTACCTCATTTTATTCAACTTCGGGCTACTTGAGATTCCACATACAAAGAAAATGTGTAGCAACTAGATAAAACTGAAGAAATATTTGTCTGATCCAATAAGGGCTTTACTCCATTATGCAATAAATAGAAATGTAAAGATTTTTGTAATTGCTTGTGAAATCCCTCACCTCTTTTTTCCCTCTCCTCTATACTATTATTCTTTAAATAATTGGTTGTAACACTATTGTTTTTTGTCGACAAAAAGGGACTGAAAATCAAAATTTGTCATTTTCATCTGTTTTGTGCATTCTTAATATTGGTATCTTCTATGGTGTCTTCCACCCCCCCCCCCCCCAACACACACACACACACACAGCAATGTGTTACAAGTATATATTTCACCGGTGCAGCGCTCTGCCTGGTACGGCCAGCGCGCGTACATTTTAACACAATTAACCCATCACCTGAATTTAGAGGGAATTGAGAAAATGTTTCTTTTAAATTTTCACAGTTCCGTGGGCTCAAAGGTGGTTTCTACAATTAGAATGATCGCTCGGATGTGGATCAGTGCCGGGCGCGGATACAAATTTTCGATTGTTTTGTTTTTTGGATCGTTTAAAGCAACATTTGTTCTCATAAATACCAGTCTTGACCCGTTGATATGCTCGTTTAACAGTTATTGCCCTTGTTCGCACCTTGCTCCAAGATGCTAATACCATACTGGCTAAACCAAATTAAAACACTTTGAAGCGGTTTAAAGCAAACGTGAACGATTACTTCTAATATTAAAAGAATGCTTGAATCCATCAAGCCATGATATAGCCTGCAGCAACGAAATAAAATAAATTATCAACTTTAAGCGGTGAGTTTTAGTATGATAATGTAAATGTATATCGTATAACGCACGTAATCTAATTAATTAAATCATTCATTTATCATGTACCTTCTATATTCGAAGTATAGCCTTCTTGATGCCGTCTTGATATCATAAATCAAACGCGTAAGTTCAAGAAAAAATTAGGGATTCATATTTTCCTTAAGTTTTTAAGTGATGCAAAATAGCTATGCGTCCCTTCCGTATTCTCTAAGGTAAAACACACGTGCGGTATGGGGTGTTAAGATTAACTAACGAGACTGTCAACCGATTAGTTGCTCAGTTAGAATTAATCACCATCCATTTAAACAACAGGCGATAACATCTTAGAACCGCAATTAAGACGGCCAGAGGGCGGAGCGAAGCGCAGATCGAAAGTTTTACTTAACAGCACTGACAGTGTATAATTTACTATTTGCTTAAGGTTGTCTGTTGTAAATTTATTTAATTCAGATTTAAAAAACAGGTTGTGTTATAGAAAAAGGTGGTGCAAAATGAATCAGTCCAACATGAGCCTCTTGATGACTATTAGAATATCTGTTGGTCCTGATAGATAAAGCCAGATGGGCGCAAGATTCCCTTTTTTTCTACTGTTATGCATCAAATAAAAGGTAGGTTGGATATTAGCTGCAGCAGGCGTGAAGGGCGAGGAAAACCTGGCGAAAATGGTGCAGAAAATTGGTACCAGAAACAAGCGAAATGTCGAAAGAAGTGCTGCGTCTGAAATTGATACATTCTCTCGCTGAGTCAATAAAGCCGCCTCTATGTACGTCACTACCTGAATCTTACAGCTTACACTCATTAGCAAAAGTGCTTATTTATGCACATAAGGGAAGGATATATTTATGAGCGCTCCCTGCAGCGCCCCGCCGTTCGATCAGTAACAAATTACGTAGAAAAGACATCATCCAATTGACTGATGCCACTGAGACTTCAACAAATTAAATTGACTCCAAATATTCGAATACAGTTATCAACTGTTGGTGTGTTTATGTGCGTCGGAAATGTTTAATAGTTAAAACGACATGGACTTCCTACACTGTCAATTAAGGGAATAAGCTGAAAATAGCAAAGCGACCAATCAGAAGCGCGCTTAAGTTTACCTCCAACTTGCTGGGCCAATTATCAGTGACAGGCGAAGTAACCGAACGCTAGTCCTCTATTCCGGGTGGCCGATTTCGGCCTTGAAAGTAGGAGGCGCTCCCTACTCAACACAGAACTGTACACAGTATCCAGGCTGTAAAGACCTCGGAGAACCCAAGTTCCCTGTGCAAAAAGGGAAGACAATTTTGAGGCTTGATCATAACGAATTCCAAGACGGATTCTTACGCAGAAGACGATATGGACATGATGAGTAGAGGGGGACACATGTACTCCCCTCTCGTGGAGCGAGGAGCGCGGAGACCCAAGTGTGCTCGTTGTAGAAACCATGGTATGGTATCGTGGCTGAAGGGCCATAAGAGACATTGTCGCTTCAAGGACTGTTCTTGTGCCAAATGTAATCTCATCGCCGAACGACAGCGAGTGATGGCGGCACAGGTGGCTCTGAAACGCCAGCAAGCGGCAGAAGACGCCATAGCCATGGGCCTCCGTGCTTGTCAAGCTGACTCCAGCCTCCCCACCCTGACCCAGGGGCCACTCTGGGGACCTGGGACCATCATACCCCCACAAATATCAGAGAATACTAGAGAAGGGGAAGAAGGAAACCACGAGGACGCAAATGGTAAGTTAAATGTAATTTTTTTTGCCTTAAGTGTCTAAATGGGATATGTCTCACAAGGTCTTCTCTCCTCCATTTGCCGATTGCTTTTGATAATATTGTCACGCTATGGACAACGATATAACAAATTCACTGCAACATGCTGGTTGCTTAAATGTTTTTCATGCAGGCAATGACAGACTCGAGTTTGTCGATTTAATTCTGTGATCGATATCTATCACAAAAACAAACATTTACCAGAAAAAAAGGACGGTTTGCTGAATTTCTAATACTTTGCCGAAGACAGAACTTGCTTCAAGTTAACTGTTCTTTCATTAATCAGTTTATCATTAAAGTATGTCGCATTTCGGTCAAAATCCTGTAACTGCATGTTATTTCATGTCACTTCTTTTGAAAACACGTAATCTTAATGTATCGATACATGCTACAACAGCTTCTACACTTGCTCTTAATTAGTTCCCCACTGAAAAGAAAATAGCCCAAATAAGAAAACATTGCACACGTTTGGTCTTTAATGATCACCCTAGACCTTAGACATTGTTGTTTCTGTTGATTAGATATATTTTACAGAATATACCAAAGCAATTGGGTATGGCATGTAACAAGTTTGGATCTTGCTTGAGTTGTCAGAGCTTGATTCAATTATATTATGTCTAAAACGTTGTATTTGAACCTTGCTACTCGACACAGTTAAACCTCACTTGAGTTTAACAAGGATGCAAGCCATGCTTTTGACTCGTTGCCTGAAAATACAAATTTGTTACAGACTAGAAATTGTTCTGAAAAGGTTACTTTGAAAACAAAGAGAGAACGAAAACAGTCTTGCGCCGATATGAAATAATTTTCAGCTGCAGGGTCTGTTCGAAAGCAGCAAGAGAGGAGCATTTGTTGATAACAATGCGTCAAAAGCTGTTCAGATTGCTTGGGGAAGTTTGCTTAGGTAATCACATTTGTGCCTTATTTCAAGGGGGAAAATTGCAAGATAAAAAGAAAAAAATGGCTCATTTCCATAGATACCCAAGAGGAACACGAATTTATCCAAAGGAAAATAAAACTTCGCTGTTCAATAAGTTCATGAGATTTTTGAAAGATTAAAAGGCAAATCTATATTTCAAAAGATAAGATATTAAACAAAATATTGCCACTTTTTTGATAAAAATTGTTCATATTCACATTTCATATTCACAAATGGCAGTCCATATGAATGGGGCAAATTGGGAAATTAGAAAGAAAAAAATGGCTCATTTCCACATATACCCAATAGGAACATGAAATCTTGCTACTCAATGAGCTCATAATATTTTTGAAAAAGTAAAAACGCATCTATATTTCAATAGATAAGATATTGAAAACAAAGCATTGCCATTTTTTCTTGATAAAAAATTGCTGATGTCTACATTCATATTCGCGAATGGCAGTCCCCATGAAACATTTTCGATATTCGATATTTTGGACTCAAAATATAAACCTTGAACGAACGTGTGTTATTTTAACTCGTATTAAGCATCATTTTGATTTATATTTTTTGTCTTCTAAGATTATTCAATCTATGCATAAAATGTTGAAGACATTTTAACTGAAAGTGTATACTTACACATGTGAAAACTAAAACAATATATGAAATTTATATTTTCTTTCTTGAAGTGCTTCTCTGGCGTTGAAACATCTTTTTTGTATTTTGAAGTTTTAACTGATGGACAGGCATTAATTTTATAAAATATTTCTTCTGATGAAAATTTACACACATAAAAAGAACTGTGAAAGTTTAAATTCTAGATGTTAACTACAAGAATAAGTATGTTACGCATTGTGTGGCGCGGCTTTATCTTCGTTCCTGTCAACTCTGTGTATTTTCTCTTAAAATCGAAAGCAATAGAAACGTTATTTTTTACCTAAAACTTCCGGTCTCTCTTGTTACACAGAATTAGACCCCACACAATTTGATTAAACATCCTCAGTATCAATATTTCCCCTGTGCTGAATGTTTCTGACGGAAATCGACACAAACCTGTGTTTGACAGAAATTCCGTAGTTTATTTAGATTAGTCTACCAGTCGCATGCAACTTAGAAGTAGACAGATTACTCTGGTCCTGTCGATTTGAAACTGGGGTAATTTCAAATATCTTTGATGGGCCTGAAATAAAGGTTAAGTATTGGGATTGTCAAATACTGGTGAAATAGAATAAGTTGAATATTTTGTTAAAAGTCATGAAAAAGACATCTCCTGTATCTAGCAATTCTTGATTAGTGTAGTATAATTCATATGAACAAAAACGAATATAATTCTATTGGCATTTAAACATAACGGACATCATTTAAAAACCGGTTCTTGTTTTAGTGTTTTTCTGGGACAACAGTAGCACACCTGCCTTTTGACTAACTAAATCTACTTAAAGGTGTATCCATTATATCATGGCACAAAGTGTTAACCCAATAACAAACAACACCTCATTAATTACATATCAACGTTATACAATTGCAGTAACATCAAACACACGGAACAGAAACACTAGAAAGTTGCGCAACAAAGGGTAAACAAATCAATATTGGGTATTGCGAGAGGAAATATAGTGCTGAGCGTTGTATGTTATTGTCTCCGGAGGGTGCAGGATTCCTAGGAACATGGAAGTTTTCTTTAAAAATCAGATCAATATGAGAGTTGTAACATTGTGTTCCCGTTGGGTTGAACATGAGATTCTAACACGGGAAAGTGAGTTAACGCAGCGAGGGGTGTGGTAAACACGGTCGTGAACTTAGATCGCTCAAAGCGCTTAAGTTTAACAAAATTAAACCTATTTTTGTTCTATCCATAATCGCATGAAAGACAAAAACATTAGCGTTAACTATTTTCATACGCATTTTTGTGTCTGGCTGCAGAATCTCAGAGGTTTTAATTTGATTTTGGGATTCAAACATTTCAGAAATTTTCAATCTTAATAAATAAAGATTATTCATTTATTGAAAAGTTGCCCCCAGAATCAAATAAAATGCGAGCGAAAATTTTCATAAATAATTTGAAGTGGTGTTGAAATAGAATAATCTTTTTAGAAAAGCCTGACTGAATTTTCTTTCAAACGGTAATTTCTCACTCATGCTATTGCTGCTTTAATCGGCATAAAATAACAAATAATACTTATTACATTAAGAAATAAAAATATAGAAATGTTATCAGATCGTAAAATCTTTTGCGGTTTCATAACATCTTATTAATGTAGTTGTTCGCATTTTAGTTGGTTTAAAGTGTTGTTTGGGTTTCCTAAAATTTGAGTTTTATTACAACGATGTGTTTATTGACATTAAACTTGTAGTCCATTAGATGATAACGTGAACTGTTAGGAAGGCAACCATGTGTTTTAGCCACAAAAATTCGCATGGTTACTTTCAACTATCAAGCACATTTATTGTCACTGATGATAAATATAGATATTAAACGCGTCTTTTTTTACAGCAAATCGATAAACAATGCTAATTTCTAAACTTGGATATCTACGCTCATTTATATATTTATTTATCCGTCTTTTTATATTATTTTTTTCTCTAAAGAACTTAATTTGTAATTAACTTTCACTCTTAATTTCTGCACATTGGAAATCTATGAAACAACTCACTAAAGCAAATCTGTACATAATTTATAGATAACGATGAGGACGTGGACGTGGATGAAACCGGGGATGAGGAGAAAGAAGAGACGGAGACCTTTGAAACAGCTAAACAACCAATAAAAACAGTTGACACATCAGAACCTCGGGAGCAGAATAACAATCTGGTGTCACGGGAGAGGAGTACCACACCGAAACCAGCCTTACCAAAGAAAACTGGACACGCGGAAGAGAGTCATCCTTCTTCTATCCCCACAGCGTACCGGCCGGGCAGGCTGAGTCACATTGAAATATTAGAAAGGATATTCCCCTTTCAGAAAAGAACTGTACTAGAATTAGTCTTACAAGGGTGCAACGGAGACATTGTCAAAGCTATTGAACATTTTCTCTCTCTCCAAGACACACTTATGGCCCAACAGCATGCATCAATGCGCGCACCGCCCAGTAGCATGGAAAATGGCTTCCATCCGTATATGAATGCTTTGAATTCGGTAAAATCAACGACGAACGGCGTTCGCGCAAAATACCCTCTCAACAACGGTGGGATCAAATCAGCATTCACCCCGCTAACTCCGGCGTCGTCTCAAGCTGCTCTTCATTCTGCGTTCTCTCCTCGAGCTGCGGCGTTCACGACGGACGCTCTCCTGGGACGATCACCCCTTTTTCCGCGCCATGACATTCGCCCAGCCGACTTTTTCAGTGCGTCATCTCCATTCGCATACCCTGGACTTGGGACGCTCACTCCAACCCTATCGTCGGGCCTTGGAGCCCCTTTTCTTCTTCATCCTTACCGCCACTTTTCTGGTGAAATACCTCAAGGCATTTTAAGTAAACCGTTAGAGAAGTCACCAAGAAGTGACCGAGACTCCGAATGTCTTTCTGACTGTGGAAGTTCGGAAGATGCTAATACTTAAATTGGACGCGATCCGTTAGGAACGACTTTTTTTGTTAAATTTCTGAAGACTATTATAAAAAATTAGGTCACAGGCAAATGCACACTGACTTTTGGTGCATCTCCGTGTCAGAATGTTGGCCTGAGAGCGAGAGTATTGTGATAGTAAATTGTTATGTAGCGGTTGTGGTTTTATATTCTCCAAATGTGCGTGGTAAAGTGAGATTCATTTGTAATGCACTCATTGTACACCTATATACCAAGTATTTGTTAAAATAACCGTTTCGATGTCTTGAAGAAAAAACTTATATTAAGACATATATCAAAATATTTTTGTTTTATCACTGTTTTTCTCTTAAAGGCTTGTAGCTGCATGTTGAAGGGGTACTTAATTAATTATACTTATTTATAGTATGTTAATAGATACTGTAAATCTCAATAATATTTAAATGCTTTGTTTCCTATTTGTCTTAAACTTACCTTTGGGCATTTCATTACACTATTGTAATATGTAGGTGATGAACTTACAAATGTATGTATTAATAAAATATTATTGTATATAATAGTTGTCTGATTGACCTTTTGGCGAGCTCTGGCAATAGAAATATATCAATTTTATGAATTCTACGTGGCACAGATAATCTTAAACTGACGCGAAAAAAGTTAATACCTTTAAACGATAGATAATATAAATGGTTGTGTCATGTCACTGAAGTGCATTGCCCCTTGTGTGGAGACGTCGGGTTTGTAACTTAGTACCGCATGTCTGGCTTGCTGTATCTAATACAGCCCCAATAATAGGGAACATGCTTTAACACAGTCAAAAGGCCGGGTGCTTTGTTAGTAACATAAACATGACCGTCCTATATCTATAGTATTTATATTCATACAAAAGTTTCTATCCAAAAATCAGCAAACTTGTGAATGTATATATTAGTGTTTAAGAGGTATAAATAGTTTTCTTAAGACCTAGCGACAATGTCAATCAGAAGTTACAGAGAGATGTTTAACTTCCCAAGCTCTAACACAATTCAACTTTTGACCTAATACGAAAGTCAAACTTTCTATTGTTCAAACTTTAAACTAACTTTCAGATTAAAGCAAGTCACGGATGGTGTTTCACTTGTCTTTGGAAGGCTCTCTTGTTTTACAATAAGTGATGAATAGGAATGAGTACAAAGCAAGACGTTTCATGCTCAAATATCACTTGAGGGATATAATGGAGAGTCAATGTTTGCCCAAGTTTTAACTCATTTTGTTTGTTTTCTATATCAAACCACTTTGCTTTCACTTAATGTTCTCAAGTCGCCTGCACACAGTAGCCACACCATTTTAAATATTTACTTCCAACATCGCTTAGTGTCATTGTAATAATTAAGCGAGGAAAGACAATGCACAACACACAGAAAGGACCGGTGAGGTTTGTAAATTTTGCCTATCAAAGAAACTCTATCTCCATTATAAATTCATTATGAATACAGGTGGTTAGCATCTGAAATCTGAGTCGGGGAAAAATAGGCCAATTGTTGGACACGTAATATATATTTGTTCTTCTTATCCTATCGATTTATCGCCAAAACTACAATATCTCCCACACGAATCTCAGTCAGTGCCGCTATTTTTTAAGATTGCTGCTGGGATTGTGGCCATAATTTTTACCTTATTTTAGGGGCTTTGTTCTCAACATCGAACAACATCCATCTGCTATTCGTTTTTTCTTTTTCATTTTTTATGTAAAGAGGTATCAATAAATGCATGTCTGTTGACTTTTGTATTCAAAGTTACCCCTGGAAGAAAAGTTTGGGCTAAGTTCTATCTTGATATACCTATACATATATATATATATATATATATATATATATATATATATATATATATATATATGCGTGTAGTGTACATTGTGTTCTGACCTTTCCAAACCCATACAGGTGGACCTGCTCTCACCTGCGCCATACCAGGTGAACTATTATAAATAGCTCCTTGACGTTCCCAGAAAGAAAAACATCATTTATAACAAAACGTGTACCTCAACAAGGCTACATCTATAGAAATTATTCAAGCAAGCACTTTGTTATTTTAGTTTGCAGGGATAATGCAATTTCCTCTGTAATTGACTACGATTTTTTGTTTGGTACCCAGTACCTTGCAGAATGGACACCCTATCCCCTATCTTCTGGTATGTAGGCCGGAGATGGTAATAGATGGTAGGAAAATGTAACAGTGGTCAGACCAAAGTGGTCAGTCGGTAGTGACGTCTGGTCAGGTGTGCCTAGCTGCCCAAGTGGTGACCATACGTGCTGCCGACTCCTACCAAATGGTTTCAGGTCCGTACAGCTATAGTCTCAGCATGTGTGTACCAGTCCACGGTCTGATCTCTCCCCTCGGCACACGTGTGCTCAACCAGATCGTGTATTCTGATGCAATATAGAAATAAACCCAACGTGAAATAGAGATAACTATTTTGGGGTTATTTGTCTACTTTTAGAATATTGGTGGGTGATGAGTTGCACGTGGAATCTTCTTCTGCGTGTACCAGGACAACAAGATTAATGAGAACAAACCAATAAAAAATTACATAATTAAGGAATATTGGGCATATATATCTTATCTTTCTAAACTTGGTGTTTTTTTTTTATCTCATCAAATATTTTAATGTAGGAAATGGTGGTTTCTCCTTCTTATTTTTTTTGTTCCAGATTACGCACATCTTTTTGTATTTTTACACATGGAAGGTACAGACAAAGCATAGAAAAAATTGCAAAGTGCCTGTTTGAATGTCAAAAGATAAGCAGTTTCAATTTTTTTGTATGCCCCTACTGCAAGAAAATGAAATTTGAAAAAAAAAATTTACTCAATTGCAAACATTTTTTAAAATAATCTTAAAGTTTATGAGGTAAAACGGACATTTTAATGGTGACCAGAATTGTCAAAATTTTTAGTTTTACGTCCAAAGTTAACGTCTAAACATGCAAAACGTGAGAGTCTAATTCTGCAATGGTAAGCCTCATAAACAAATTTTTTAAATAGAAAATCCCTTTTAAAGTTTTATTTTGCTTAATGACATACAGCCTTTAAGTCTATTGTTTGCAGAAGTCAAGTATTTTTAGCAAATCCAACTAAGCAAATGAAAATCTATAGAAAATTATCTATGAAGAAATTATTTTATCATTATGTCTTTTCCTTATCTAAAAAGCTACCATTATGAACAAATTACTTCACCAAGTTAGAATACTTGAAAAAATAGTTTTAATTCTTGGCTTCAAAACTGCTAGTATTGAAACTAATTTTTAAAAAATTAAATTGTTATTCTAATTTTTTTCTGACAGAGACAGAGGTGCTGACAGAGGTCTAGAAGGATATATCTAGAGTAGAATTGCCAAACGGTTAGGGGCAGAGGGTAAATATTTAAGAAGCTGCAACCATATTGTTGAGCGCCGGCTTATGGTATGCCATGAAAGTGTCATGTCCTTTGTTTGCCTAAACAGAGTAGGTAATTAAAACAATGCAAGTTGTGTTGTCAAACAATGGCCTCCCTTGGTTTGTGTAGTTAGTAAGGTAGACGGACATAACTTAAGAGCGGAGGAGAAAAAAAAGCGAGTTCAGCTCAGAGCATCTTTCCTCAATTATGTTGTCAAGCACACTAATGACTGGCATTGTGCTGTCTGGCATTGTCAATGTTTCTTTTTAGAGCTACGGAATGGCCGCCGATATTTTGTGGTTCGTTTTTACAGACAGAGTTTGTACGCAATGACGGGAAAAGAATGGCGAACACTCCTTTTAGTCTATCCCGCTACGGGTACAGCAAGAGATTTTTTCTGACCGGCAGACTATCGTACTTGCGGGAAGTTGCATCAGTTTCTGTAGACAATGGTTGGTAATCTAAACAGAGTGAAGTTTCAAAATGTTGTTTGAAGATAGCCATGTGAGATAGTGGGTTTCAAGTTGCCGTAGTTCCCAGTTGCACGGTATCCATTTTGCCGATAGCCGACAATGTAGCAGTCATATAGAGAAATCCTGGACAAAATGCAGTTACAGTTGTTTATCTTCTAACACTGAGAAACTTGTTTCATTTTACAGCAGCGCGGCACGGAGCTGTACTTGTAGGCAGTGATAGGAAACACAACTTCGCTATCTTTCTGCAACTTTCCGGTCTGTATGTAGAGTTCCTTTAGTGCTAAGATTGCCTGACTAGGTCGGTGGCATTAACATAGGTTCTTTGTGGTATTATAATTTTTTTTTAAGCATTACATGTTCTTCGTTGCATAATGTAGGTAATTTTTTGACAAGAAAGTCCTATGGGTTTTTTGAAAATGCTGTCAATTGATTTCAAATTATTTTATATATAATTTTATGTGCAGTTAATCGTTATTTTAGGAAAAGTTTTGAACACTTAATGTACATTTTGAGGATGAAAATATTTTCAAGCAGCGAAGACAACATAAAACAATTTTAATTAAAAAAAATTCATAAAAGCGGATAAAAAAGAAAAGAGACTATAAAAACAACACTTCCTCAAAGTGCTCCTAGGTCAAACAAAACATTTCATCTATTTGTTTAGCAATCAAAAACACAAAATCCTTTTTACATTCATCTGTAAGTATGATATATCATTACATTGTTGTAAAAGTTCTTTCGATTCATTCTGTTTCTGAAGCATGCAGATTTAATGTAATGGCCAAAGAATCCATGGAGACCACCGAATAGCCAAACATTTGGCAGTGTTCACATAAGAGTTTTATCTCAAAGTTACAATATTCGACATATTTTGCTAATGCAGGAGACCTATTCTATTCTTACATGATACACTTACTTCAAACACAACTGGCTAATTTCTGAAATGTACAGTCACGTTTATATTTTGCCTATCTTGTGTGTTCTGAAGTACCGTGATAAATTACCTACTACTGATAAAGAAACGTGGGAACAACACTCGACGAATAGAGTATATTTTCATTTCAACTTGAAATAAAAACGGCTGTTGATATTGATATATTTCAAAGTAAACAATGATAGGAGATATACCTGAAAATACGCCTTTCAATTTTTGTATTCAAGAATTTAGGTTAAAGTAATCATAGAAAATTTATTTTAAAAAATTTGAACGATTTAATTTAATAAGCTTAAAGAAAAAATTATATTTTCTTTATAATAGTTTCTATCCTTGTAAATAGAATGGCAGAAATTACTTTTGACTTATTGTGGACATTTTCGTGTTTAGGGGGCAGAGCTACCATAACTTCTTTCACAGAATAAACCAGAACCAGGCACGATGGAAAAAACTCTAAAGCGGGGGAGAAATGATGACATTGTTTCACCTTTTCCCAGTGTATAAATCAGACTAATTTCACTAATTGAACCGACGCCGTTCTATTGAGAATATTTACTTGAGTGAGAGTAAGAGTATTGGACCCACCACGATATGTGAAGGCAAAAGTTGAAATGTTTAGATACAGAATATGTCCTACCGCGGCAAAAGGCGAT